CAAAGTTACAAAAAACATAAAGCTACGTCACAACATGCAACAAACACCACTACGTCTACACAAACAAAGCCATCACCACAACCAAAGCAAATACGTGTACAAGCACAAATACATCATGTTGACGACATAACTACAGCCCCCGTCTCTGCCCCTACAGCTCCACCCCAGCACCAACAACAGCAACAACAGCCAATAAACAAAGATACAGTCACCAAGCAAAGGATACCAGCTATCTTTTTGCCTCTGGTGACTGATGTAGTGCCACTGATGGATATGCTTTATAAGCATCCATCAGTGAAAGGATTCAGCACTAAAGCTACTGGTGGTGCTGGGCGAGGACTACGTATTCACTGCCATGACCTTGATACATATAATGCAGTACTGAGTGTACTGCAGCAAGAAAAGCTGCAACTGCACACTCACCAGCCACGCCAGTTAAAAGGCTATCGAGTGGTGCTAAAGCACTTGCACCACTCGACACCTTGCGACTGGTTGAGGGTGCAGTTGCATGCTCTGGGCTTCATGACGCGTTTCGTGCGCGTCATGAAGCACAGATTCACATCAAAGCCACTCAATCTGTTTGAGATTGAGCTCCAGCCACAGCCTGATGGCAGCCATGAGGCGGTGCTCAGTCTCAAACAGATCGGTATGCAAGCAGTTAGTGTGGAGCGTATGGCCAAACCCATCGATCCGGCCCAGTGCCATCGATGTCAAGCGTTTGGCCATACGAAAAACTACTGTAGGCGGCCATTTAGATGTATGAAGTGTGCGGGAGCACACGCATCCACAGAGTGCCCAAAAGGCAGGGACGAGGCGGCAACATGTGCAAACTGTGGGGTTCACATGTTAGCTGCTTTAAAGGCTGTCCGGCCTTTAAAGCAGCGCGTGTGAAACTGCTTGCCGCCCAAGCCACACAAGCAATGCGCAAGCAGAGGCAGCCACAACAGCAACAGCAACAACAAAAGCAAAAGCAGCAACTACAACAACAACAAGAAACAAACGTGCAACAAGTGGTCAACAGAAAATTGACCTATAGCAGCGCAGCGCGTAGTAAAAACAACAACAACAACACAAATGACAAAGACATGCAACTACAAAGACAAGGACAAAGACAAAAGACAATACGCGGAAATGCAATAAAAACACCACTAAACAAGACAAAAGTAACAAAAACACCAGCAAATAAGGCCACAGTGACGAAAAACAGCAAAAACACAGCACAAAAACACTTGGCCAAACTACAACATTCACTACAAAGACAACAACAACAGGCTGCAACTCAATCGGCCAAACAAAACAAAGCAATGTTTGGCCGCATTGAACACAAAATTGATAAATTATTGACTGTTTTGGACAAATTACTCAATACACTACTGACCAAAACAGACAATAACGCACAGACAAATGCAGCAGCAAATACAAGTAAAACTGAACAAATACAGCAAACACAACAAGAACAAGTACCACAAGTACAACAAACACAACAACAACAAGTACAGGTACAGCAAATACAGCAAGAGCAAACTGAACAAATTGCTCAAACAAGGCGGCAGCCACAACATTATCCTATGGTGGACCTCCACGAACTCTTGGGCCTGGACAAGAAGTTCGAAACGGCGATGGAGACGTCATCAAGCTGGTGTACTGACGGCTCAGTCTGTTCCTCGTCAGCCAGCGAGAAACACTACTGACCGTTAATGCACCAGCCGGATCCAAAATGAAGATGACGACTACATGCAGCAGCAACAACAATGACGACGATCAGCTAATAATCTAAAAAGAATGACATATTAATAAATAAATACAACAAAAAACAAAGTAAAACTACGCAAATAATCGACGATACGCATACAAACACACTTGACGACTCAGGGATAATCCAACGAAATACAACTCGCCTCAGTGTCATGCTGAAAATAAAAAAAAAATAAACAAATTAATAATGCTAACAATGCTTCCACTTACCTGACGACCAAGGACAATTCTTCAACGATGCCAATTCGCACCTGCGCCACTCACTGACAGCTAACACATCAATTGACGAGTAATACTACATACATCAAATATGTACAAAATTACTTGACAATTGACTAATTAACCACAATGGACGCCAGTAGAACGCAGACGAACTGAAATAAAACGAAGAAATTAATAAACAATGTAAAAAATACATATAACGTATATGTAAATACTTACCTGCCACCTTGGGATAACACCAATACATCAGCTTCAAAACGAGACACTCGCCAGTCCTGGCAAAAATCTGGATGGACGACAATCGCCTTCGATAAATTTATCGAAAATCCCTGAAGAGCCACTAACTGCATATAAAATGCAAAACTATACATATTTGTATGCGACTTTTTACTGACCATGGCAATGTCAAGCCAAAACAAACTGACTGTCAATAAATTAGCTGAAAAAATAAGAAAAAAGGCTGAAAATAAAGAAAAAAGTTAAAAAAGCTTCAAAAAAAGGCCAAAAAATGTTAAAAACAAAAAATAACTATGGAGAAAAAAAAAAAAAAAAAAAAAAAAAAAAATAAAAATAAAAAAAAAAAAAAAAAAAAAATTTTTAAGCTGAAAAAGAAAATAGCTGAAAAAAATAAGAATATATGCTGCCAATAAATATGAAAAAAAAAATTCTTATATACTTACCTGATCGCCATTGGGGTCCACTAATCTGAAAAAAAAAAAAAAAAAATTACCAAAAATATTAATTTACTTACCTGATTGCCGATGCCATTGGGGGTCCTCTAATCTGAAAAGAAAAAAGAAGAAAATATTAATAAATATATAATAAATATTAATAAATATATAATAAATAATATTAATAATAATAAACAAATTAATAATGCTAACAATGCTTCCACTTACCTGACGACCAAGGACAATTCTTCAACGATGCCAATTCGCACCTGCGCCACTCACTGACAGCTAACACATCAATTGACGAGTAATACTACATACATCAAATATGTACAAAATTACTTGACAATTGACTAATTAACCACAATGGACGCCAGTAGAACGCAGACGAACTGAAATAAAACGAAGAAATTAATAAACAATGTAAAAAATACATATAACGTATATGTAAATACTTACCTGCCACCTTGGGATAACACCAATACATCAGCTTCAAAACGAGACACTCGCCAGTCCTGGCAAAAATCTGGATGGACGACAATCGCCTTCGATAAATTTATCGAAAATCCCTGAAGAGCCACTAACTGCATATAAAATGCAAAACTATACATATTTGTATGCGACTTTTTACTGACCATGGCAATGTCAAGCCAAAACAAACTGACTGTCAATAAATTAGCTGAAAAAATAAGAAAAAAGGCTGAAAATAAAGAAAAAAGTTAAAAAAGCTTCAAAAAAAAGGCCAAAAAATGTTAAAAACAAAAAATAACTATGGAGAAAAAAAAAAAAAAAAATAAAAAAAAAAAAAAAAAAAAAAAAAAAAATTTTAAGCTGAAAAAGAAAATAGCTGAAAAAAATAAGAATATATGCTGCCAATAAATATGAAAAAAAAAAATCTTATATACTTACCTGATCGCCATTGGGGTCCACTAATCTGAAAAAAAGAAAAAAAAATTACCAAAAATATTAATTTACTTACCTGATTGCCGATGCCATTGGGGGTCCTCTAATCTGAAAAGAAAAAAGAAGAAAATATTAATATTTCAATTTTCAACTCACCACTACATAGATGGAGAGGGTATGCGCCAGCCGGCGCATGCCAGTGATTGACGCCAGTGCTCCATGGATGCACACTGGCCACGCACTAACGCTTAATGGCTGCCAATCCGGACGACGAGCTGCGCGGGACGCACGCTTTCCACTGATGACAACGTATGCAGCCGCACACTGAAAAAAAACGAACCACAAGCCATTATCAGCGTTAGACGACAACAAGAGGGCTACTTATCTGACGAGCTGCGACCATTCCAGCGACGAAGAAGGATGTCCATGATGACTGCCACCAATGTACCTGCAAAATAGAATAAGTTAATATTAAGTTAATGTTTAATGTATTTATGTTGAATGTTAATTTATTATTGTTCTTATTGTAACTAAATGTAATTGTCTTTTGCCATTATGTATGTTAAACATGTGAGTTAGTGATGTAAATTGCATGTAAATATTGTAACTATTATCGATAGCTGTAACTATTGTTAAGTGTATAATTAGCGTCACTAAGTTAATCGCACGAGTGACTACCGGATTTTAACCCATTCAACTTAACAAGTGCCTGAAGATGCTGTGAATCCGACTCACACCATAGTTGCTCACCCGAGTAATAAGTTGAGTGTCGCGAGCGTGAACGGACGCACACCGCTGAGCGCGAGGCCGGCGGGCAAGTAGAGTAGTCTGACTTTGTAAAATTATACTAAGCCAAGACTGCGGTGAATACACACAATAGGCGTCAACAAATTTACTATATTATACAGTAGTATAGCAGTAAATAAATAAATATAGTCAGTCAGTCAGCCTCATGCGGACCTGACTATTCAAATTCAAAAAAAAAAAAAAAAACCGCTTAAAAGATTTGTTGATGTAGATCACACAGCTGTGAACGAAAGACATGCCATTTGGTGTAAAACCTCTGAGGAGAAAGCAGAATCTTTTGCTCTTCATCTTGAAGGACGGTTCCGGCCTAACATAACCTGCAGTCAAGAGGATAAAGAGGACATTGAATCTCAATGCTTGCCAGATTTAGACAGTGGTAGCTTGCCTCCTGTGCAATTTCGACCTATACTTGTTCAGGAAGTTATGACCATAATCAATGATCTTCAAATTAAGAAGTCTCCTGGGTTAGACTTCATTGATAACTGGACACTCAAAGCACTTCCTCTAAAGGCACTGCTGTATTTAACTCTTATATTCAACAGTGCGCTCAGATTTGGACACTTTCCCAGCCGATGGAAATGCGCAAGAGTCAGAATGATAGTTAAACCTGGTAAGCCAGCCCATGAGCTGACTTCCTACAGGCCAATCAGCTTACTCTCAGGGCTATCCAAAATCCTTGAGAAGTTAATTATGAATAGGCTATTTGAGGTGGAGGCGTTTTGTAAGGCAATGCCTGATCACCAATTTGGCTTTCGTAGTCGGCATTCCACAGAACAGCAACTTGGTCGTGTCACTCAATTCATTATGGAAGCTTTTGAAGATAATTATTTCTGCTCAGCCGTCTATCTGGACATTTCTGAAGCTTTTGATCGTGTCTGGCACCCAGGGCTTCTATACAAGCTAAAGAAGTTACTACCAAATGTACTATTTAACATCCTACATAGTTATCTCAAAAAATCGTACATTTATAGTGGAGTGTTTCGATGGCACACGATCAAGTGTTAAACAAATCGCTGCTGGTGTTCCACAAGGAGGCGTTTTGAGCCCAATTCTGTATAATTTCTACACTGCGGACATGCCACTACCAGCCATATCCAGCGTTCGACGTCCAACTGCACGCATGATGCTAGGAACATATGCTGATGACACTGCAATTCTCTCGAGCAATATTAGTTTGACACATGCTGTACAACACCTTAATCATTATCTCAACACATTTCACGAATGGACCAAAAAATGGTGTATCAAACTCAACTATTCCAAAACAGTTCATGTGATACATTCAATTCGACAAGTACAATATGATCATCAAAGTGTTGTCACAATTGCGGGTAATAATATTGACAACAAAACTAGCCATAGATATTTGGGCATACAGCTGGATAACAAACTGTTGTTAAAAACTCATATTAATAATATAATTGGCAAGCTTAGAACGAGAACTAAAGAGTTAAAGTGGATAATTGGAGCTAGAAGTAAGCTGCCACTAAAACTTAAAATATTACTATATAAGCTGCTTATTGCGCCGATTTGGCAATATGCTCTTCCTATATGGGGCGCGCTGATATGCGAGACCAGATTTAATAAGCTGCAAGTAGCACAAAATAAAATACTTAGAGAAATAACAGGTGCACCGTGGTATGTCAGTAATAACACACTTCATATAGATCTGCAAGTAGACACTGTTGAAAGCATCTATAATAAACTGTGTTATAAATATGTGAGCCGGCTTCTTGCTCATCCCAATCCTGAGGCAAGACGAATTGGTAACTACCCGTGCATTCCGCAACGGCTGAAGTGGAAGCGTTACTCCGTGATGCTCAACAATCACTTGCAATCAAACATATTTAAGCGGAAATGGGAACTATTACAGGCCAAGCAGAGACGGGCACATGGTTGCATATATGTTGCTACTATCCCTTCTAAAAATGCAGTTTCTACTTTTAATCATCCTGTTAACTTAAATCGGAACTTCAACTCATATCAGAATATCAGTTTTAGGCGGGACGATAGTTTCAGGCAAGATACTGGCTCCAGTCAAAATAATGGTTTCAATCAGGTCGATGGCTCCAGACAAAATTCCATTCCCAGTCGAAATATTGGCTCTAGTCGAGATGTCAATCTTATTCAAATCGACGGTTCCAGACAGGATCCTGGCTCCAGTTAAAATACTGGTTCTTCCATACAGAATCCCAAACAGGATGCCAGTCCCGGAAGAGATGACGTTTCCTGGCCGGATGCAATTCTTAATCAAGATATCTATACATTCACTAAAACATAATCAAACTACTTTTGTATTTCACTTCACATTTAATGTAACACTCACATTTGAGATCTACACACAGTAGGCGTCAACAATTTCACACAAAATTAATCAAACTACTTTTGTATGTCACTTCACATCTAATGTAACACTCAC